ATCCCTTTGTCGCCTTTTACGACACCCACGGGAAGATATGGGGTAGTGGATATTCTTAACCGCCACTACACGACATTATTCCGATGATATCCCGGACGTCAGTCTGAGCGAGATTAGAATGGCTCTCCAGCACCTTAAAAACGGCAAGGCCCCAGGCGAGGATGGAATTACAGCGGAGCTTCTGCAAGCGGGTGGAAAACCGGTACTTGAAGTCCTTCAGAAGCTCTTTAATTCCGTCCTCCATGGTGGCATTACACCGGAGGCGTGGAGCAGAAGTGCGGTGGTCTTGTTTTTCAAGAAAGGCGAAAATGCTCTCTTGAAGAACTACAGACCGATTTCCCTTCTGAGCCGCGTCTACGTGCTGTTTTCGAGAGTCATTACGAATCGTCTCGCGCGCAGACTTGACGACTTCCAGCCTCCTGAACAAGCCGGTTTCCGAAAAGGCTTTAGCACCATAGACCACATACATACCCTTCGGCAAATTGTACAGAAGTCCGAGGAGTACAATTTGCCACTATGTCTGGCGTATGTGGACTATGAGAAAGCCTTTGATTCCGTCGAAATTTGGGCGGTGCTGCAGTCCCTTCAGCGGTGCCAAGTTGACTGTCGGTATATCGAAGTGTTGAAGTGTTTGTACAGTAGGGCTACGATGGCTATCCGAATACAGAACCAGAGTACGAAACCTATCCAATTGCAGAGAGGTGTAAGACAGGGTGACGTCATATCCCCGAAACTCTTTACCGCTGCATTGGAAGATGTTTTCAAGCTACTGGACTGGAAAGGATACGGTATCAACGTCAATGGCGAGTACATCACTCACCTTCGATTTGCCGACGATATTGTCCTTATGGCAGAATCGCTGGAGGACCTAAGCGCTATGCTCAATGACCTCAATAGTGTTTCCCAACGGATAGGTCTTAAGATGAACATGGACAAAACAAAGATCATGTTTAATGTCCATGTCACACCTATGCCGGTAGTTGTTGGGAACACTAAGCTCGAAGTTGTTGACGAGTATGTTTACCTGGGACAAATAGTCCGACTAGGTAAGTCCAACTTCGACCGAGAGGTCAATCGACGGATTCAACTCGGTTGGGCAGCGTTCGGGAAATTACGACACATCTTCTCGTCAGGTATATCTCAAAACTTGAAAACGAGACTGTACACCCAGTGCGTGTTGCCAGTGATGACATACGGAACTGAGACGTGGTCCTTCACTGCTGGCCGGATGAGGAAACTCAAGGTCGCTCAGCGAGCTATGGAGAGGGCTATGCTCGGAGTTTCTCTGCGTGATAAACTCAGAAATGAGGATATCCGCAGTAGAACCAGAGTAACCGACATAGCCCAACGGATTAGTAAGCTGAAGTGGCAATGGGCCGGCCATATAGCTCGAAGAACCGACAACCGATGGGGAAGAAAGGTTCTCGAGTGGCAGCCTCGTACCGGCAGGCGAAGTGTAGGGCGTCCCCCCACTAGATGGAGTGACGACCTGGTAAGATATGCAGGAAGTCGATGGATGCAGGTGGCTCAGGACCGTGCTTTGTGGCATTATTTGGGGGAGGCCTATGTTCAGCAGTGGACTTGTGAAGGGCTGTAATGATGATGAATGATGATGATGACTGTATCACATCATCTCTCTACACATACATACATACAACAAAGTATCCTAGATGATGCCCAAAACTTTGTGTGTGGATTGAGGTTTATAAAAATTCCCATGGCAACTCTGAATTTCCAGAATAAAAAGTAGCCTATGTCCAGGATAGAAGCTTTCTCTGTATCAAGTTTCGTAAAAATAGGTTAAGCTTTTATTATAACATTAATATATTAATATGGGAATTTTACATGTTGATGTTGATGGTTTTAGAATATTATTATCATAGGTCTGGATGAGATTCATAGGTTTTTTTTCACTAAATGTGTTCTTTGGAAGGGTTAATGATCCTGGAATTGAAATTTATACAAGTTTAAATAAAAGAAAAATTTTAAGAACCCACAACCAATAGCAGAGCTCCATGGTGGCCTAAATAATCGTAAAACATATCTAAGGACCTGCTCTGAGGTGATACATGTGTAGGCAGTACCCTGGTAGCATGTTTATACCTGGTAGCCACAATGTCTATTTTCCCTGTAGGACGTTCTGCTGACCTCTCATCCGGACGGATATCAGGTTTCCGTCGATGCCCCTCTCGGCTCTTCGGACCATTGTCTGATCCGGAGTGTGGTGCCACTCACGCTCCCCTCGCGGTTGCGTTCTGCAGTTTGCCGCCGTGTTTGGCATTACAGGTCGGCGGAATGGGACGGAATGCGGTCTTTCTTTGCTTCCTACCCATGGGGTCGGGCTTGCTTCTCGCCGGATGATCCCAGCGCTGTTGCTAACTCTGTTACTGACGTGGTGCTACAGGGAATGGAATTATTTATTCCATCACCTGTGGTACCCATCGGAGAGAGATCTCAGCCTTGGTTTGGTCGCTCCTGTAAGAATGCATTACGCAGTAAGCAGGAGTGCTATCGGGCCTGGGCTGAGGCTTCGGTGGCTCGTGATGTAAGCACCAGCATGCTTAAAAAGACGTATAACTTCGCCTCCAGGTCCTTCAAAAGAGTTATTGCCAAGGCAAAGTCAGAGCACATAGGCAGAATTGGCGAGAAACTAGTTCGCCTTCCTTCGGGAACCCGTGCATTCTGGTCTCTGCCCAAGACTGTCCAAGGGAATTTCTGTAAGCCATCACTACCACTCTGCACAGGGAGGATGACTCACTGGCCCACGCCGCAAAAGAGAAAGCCGACCTTTTAGGCACGCAAAAAGGCATCCAACTCTAGTCTCGATGATGGGGGGAACACACCGCCGACCATCCTGCGGTGTGAGTGCTCCATGCCGGATGTGCGGTTCTCATAGCGATCGGTCCGCAAAGTACTTCTCTCCCTGGACATCCACAAGTCGAGTGGGCCTGACGGAATCCCCCCAATTGTGCTGAGGACGTGTGCTCCGGAGTTGACACCGGTTCTAACGCGTCTTTTCCGGTACTCCTACTCCCTAGGCGTAGTTCCGAAATCATGGAAGACAGCTTTTGTCCACCCGATCCCTAAAAAGGCGTTCGCTAAGACCCGTCCAACTACAGGCCAATCGCCATCACCCCCTTGTTCTCCAAAATAATGGAATCCTTTATAAACTGCCACCTCATGCGGTACCTTGAGGATCACCAGCTGATTAGTGACCGCCAATACGGTTTTCGTCGGGGTCGATCAGCTGGTGATCTTCTGGTCTACTTGACTCATAGATAGGCGGAGGCAGTAGAGTCCAAGGGGGAGGCATTGGCCGTTAGTTTGGACATTGCGATTGCGATTGCGATTCGATCGGGTTTGGCATAAAACGCTTCTTTCGAAGCTCCCTTCCTATGGGCTTCCCGAGAAATTGTGCAATTGGATCACCAGCTTTCTTGCAGATCGGAGCATCAAGGTCGTTGTAGACGGTGCCTGCTTCAACTACAAGCCTATTAACGCTGGTGTTCCACAAGGCTGCGTGCTATCACTAACGCTGTTTCTTCTGCATATCAATGATATGTTGCAAACCGGTAGCATTAATTGCTATGCGGATGACAGCACTGGTGATGCTCTATACACCGGCCGTGCCAATATTTCTCGGGAAAACGTCGCCGAGTACCGGAACAACCTTGTGTCTGAAGTCGAGTCTTTGCTGGACAAAGTCTCGGATTGGAGGCGACTAAATCTAGTCCAGTTTAATCCTCAGAAGACACAAATTTGCGCGTTTACCGTTAAAAAGAAAACCTTTGTCGTATCTCCTCAGTTTCAAGACACTCCCTTAGTTGCCTCAGCCAGTATTGGAGTCCTCGGCGTCGACATATCGAGTGACGTGCAGTTTCGTGGTCACTTGGAAGAGAAGACCAAATTGGCCTCTAAAAAGCTTGGCGTGCTCAGCAGAGCGGGAGAGTATTTCATGCCAGCACACCGCCTGCAACTTTACAAGGCGCAGGTTCGGCCTCACATGGAATACTGTTCCCATCTCTAGGCAGGGGCTCCCCAATGCCAGCTCCTTCCACTTGACCGCATCCAGCACAGAGCGGCTCGAATCGTCGACGACCGAGTCCTTTCCGATCGGCTCGACTCATTGGCGCTGCGAAGAGATGTTGCATCTCATTGCATTTTCTTTCGTATTTACCACGGGGAGCGCTCTGAGGAATTGTTCGGATTAATCCCAGCCGCCAAATTTCACAAACGCACATCGCGGCAGAACTCCCGGTAACAATCCGCACCATCTGGATGATTGGCAGTCCACCACTGTGCGATTTAGAAGAAGTTTTCTTCCTCGCGCAACTTCCTTGTGGAATAATTTACCACCAGCGATTTTTCCGGACCGATACGACTTAGGGACCTTCAAGAAAAGCGCCTACTCCTTTTTAAAAGGCATCTGCAATTCCCCTGGTGTTGCGGTTGTTCATGGGCGGGGGTAGTCACTTACCATCAGGTGAGCCGCATGCTCGTTTGCCCCCTCTCCTATAAAAAAAAAATAAGTTTAATACGCGGGAAAAATGTCCTATATTATTGTTATTATTATTTGTGTTGTATATTATTATTATTTGTAACATTTAAAATGACGTTTTACGTAATTCATGAATGGCGGCTTACATGTTATTATACTCAAATACAAGGTAATTAATGAATTAATTAATAGTAATTATTTAATGAATGAAACTGTCTTGCCAAGGAACTTTTCCTTTATTTGGAAAATACTTCATAAATTCACATCTTATCTGTTTTGCTGTTTGAGGTGCACGGCCTTGGATAGTTCTTTGTAATGATTCAAGGGTTGACTCTCTTGTAGTGAGTCCTGACGTTATCATACCCTCTTCCAAATTTTCTCTATCGAAACATTCTGAAGGAGCATATGAATTAAGAGATGATGACATCAAATAATTATGCAAAGCACAGGTTGCTCTTACGACTGACCCAATATTTTCAGGTGACAGGTTCATTTGTGTTCTCTAAATTCTAAATCTCGTTGCTAGTATACCAAATGTGTTTTCGACTATGCGGTGTGCTCGTGATGTCCGATAATTATATATCTTCTTAATTCTATTGACTAAGTCATTTTGCTGAAAAGGTTTCATCAAGTTCTTTCTTAGAGGAAACGCGTCATCAGCTACGAATACATACGGCAGTATTCGTAGACTATTAGGCAACATTTCTGCTGTAGGAATATTTAACGTCTTTCTTTCAAGTTTTTCATAAAATTTCGTATTCAAGAATACTCCACTATTAGAAACCCTTCCATTTGTTCCAAAATCAACTAACAGGAATCTGTATTTTGCATCAATGATTGCCATCAATACCATACTGTGTCTATGTTTATAGTTATAAAAAAAAAACGAGCCACTGTTGCTTGGAGGCACGATTTCAACGTGCTTACCATCAATAGCACCTAAACAGTGAGGAAAGTTCCACTTGTGATGAAATTCTCTCGCTATTGTTTTTAAATCCTGTTCTGTTTTTGGAAACTGTAACAAAATAAGTACATCACTAGTCATTATTTTTAGAAACATAATATTTTTTTCGGCTTAACTTTCCTAAAAGTTACACTATTATAAGCACACACACAAAGTTACAACATGCGCAAACGCGTAATTGTTGAGAAAAAAGTTATTGAAAATCAATTATTCTTGCATTATTTATATCTAATCCTATCATAAAACTGACGCCATTTTGTAATGTCATTGTCGTCAGTAGGGATGTGGATTCTTTCCGAAAAAGGTCGATTTTTAAATCGATTCAAATCGTAAGCTGATGTATCGATTCACAAAAAATCGATTTCTAAAATATCTATTTTTTTTTCATGTTTGCATTTATAATGTAAATATAATTCCATTTTATGAGAAAAAAATCTCCTTCATCATAAAATATAGGGGGACTGATTCAGAAGGATTTCTGTATCTATTTTGAGACTGCTACGTCTCCGGCGCTGCGGGAAGAGCAGCCTCTACGCCTTAGCGTAACAAATCGAAGGCGAGGAGCAGCAGGCGGAGTCTGCTCCCCCTACGCGCCTCCGGCTCTTTAAAACTACTCTAGGGGTAGGACAGACTCGTACCAGGTGGAGTCGGGGTCAATCAATTCAGTTCTTGACATAAGTTGAACCTAACCTATTTTATTTGTTATTTGCCCTAATTGGTACTGTTAAAATAAAACAAATTTCAATAAGAGATCATTTATTATAGTATCTTTCTTGTTTTTCATAAAATGGAATTATATTTACATTATAAATGCAAACATAAAAAAATAGATATTTTAGAAATCGATTTTTTGTGAATCATTTGTGATTAGACATAAACAATGCAAGAATAATTGATTTTCAATAACTTTTTTCTCAAAAATTACACGCTTCCGCATGTTGTAACTTTGTGTGTGTGTTTATAATAGTGTAACTTTTCTGTAAAAATACGTATCAACCCCCAACTCAAAGGGAGTCAATGGAAAGTCGTACCCGGACCAAAACCCCCGATAATCGTTTCGAGGTGTTTGAAAAAAATATAGGGATGAAACTACAAGAGCTACCAAAAGTATATATATATTATTTTCATGACGATTTATTGCTTCTCTCATTACAGTGTCCTGTTTCTTTATTAGTGGAGTAACTAAAACCAGCAGATTTAAGTATGCCACCTTGTTCATCCGTAAATAATTATGCCAATCTTTCGGAGCGAATTTCAATTAATTTAATAAGTTATGAGAAAATAACTTCCTTTTCATGAGCCAGTCTTTACACCACACACTCCGCGACTTTTTTTTCTTCAAACACATAATCAGGCTCAATAACGCAAGTGCGTCATCATCTTCAATCGTGGATGACATGTTTCATGCGCGAGCTTCTGCCGAGAACTGACCATAGATTACTGTAGTGGTGTGCGACTCGAGTTATTTGACTCGAGTAACTCGAATCAAACCTTAAACGAGTCTACTCGAGTTCAGTTTTAAGCAACTCGAATCAACTCGGTCGTCCGAACGCAAACCGGACGTTATAGTTATACGCGGTGTTCCGAGTTACACACGCGAGTTGTTCCGAGTTACACACGCGGCTCGCGCGCGCGGTTCGTTAGGCGTTGCAACTCGCATCAACTCGAGTTGAGTGAATTATTATTTATTATGTTACGATACACACGCGCGCGCGCCGTTCGTAAGGTGTTGCATCGTACTCGTATCGACTCGAATAGATTATAGAACTCGGGTTGAGTCGGGCTCGCTCGGCCAGGATCGGAACGGAAACGGAATTGCGCGAATGAAAAACTGCGTTGAATGTTTATTTTGATTGACATTTTTTTTCTTTTATATTTATTTCGTTTATTTTATTTATAACTACTACTATTTATAACTATAACTTGCTATAATATAAATTAAGCAATTATTTAAAAACTAAACCATTGACATTTTGTTGTTTAATTTTATTAGTTGATTGACCGTTAGCGATCCGCTCGTGAGTCTCGAGCTCGAGCTGACTCGTGGTCCCCGAGTCGGCCGAGTCGCCTCTCTTTCCCTACAGCAGACATCGATTCGAGTCAACTCAAGTTACGATTCGAGTCAGTAGCCATATGAACTCGAGCAACTCGAGTCAAAAAAAATCCAACTCGTCACATCAGTAGATTACTGTATATATACCAGAGAACTGACGATCGACGTCGATATCGGTGGCGTGTGGACTCCACACGCCACCGATATCGAAGGTATATATATATATATAGTATATATAGATATATTTAAGGCGAAACACTTTAGCCCAGTAACTTTTGGCATCGATGTTATCTCCATGAACTTCAAGCCCATGTTGATCAAAATCTAACAAAGCGTGATTTCGCCACTCTTCATCTAATTTTTGTGCGGTCACAAATTTATAAAACACAAAAACTGTTGAGCTTCTGATGGATTTACAGCGGATATAATAGAAAATAAAGGATCCCCGAAATCAAATCGATTGGTAATGTCTGATGTCTATTCAATATAAAACTCCTGGCAGGTTCTATAGAGATCTGCAATAGCAGCACGAGGTACATTTTCGTCATTTTTAAATTTTCCATACTTTCTACAGCTTTGATCCAATATATATTTCGTTTAAACTTTGAAAATGCTTTGGATTTTTGAAGTCTACGTTTAAAATATTAGCACAGGACTTGACATAGCTAATTTTCATGAAAATAGAAGACAATGTTTTCAAAAGGTTTTCGAGTTCTAGTTTCAATTTGTGAAGAGGGGATGTTTCTGATTGAAATAAGATATTGAATTTTGTTACCAGTGCAAGTACGTAAGACCAAAATATCCCAAACATACCACAGTGAGTTGGTTGTTCATTGTAATCAGCATTTCTTCGGTAGTCTTCGACGGATCTGAGAAGACTGTTTCTGTGAAGTAGACTTTTAATGGAATATACTGCTAATGATAAAAAATGAAACTGAACCACAAACTAAATAAGTTCATGAAAATTCTGTATTAATATTTACAATAGCGACTAGGTGTCGCCAAAGTTTTTTTAATGAATTTGGAATAAACACAAAATCTGTAGAAAGAAATGTATAGACCCTAAAAAAATTATAAGATACACAAAACAATTTTACGATTGAATAAAGATGCCAAAATTTAAATTTGGCGCAATGAAGAGTATTGAGTTGTCTAATATCCATAAGTAACTAAACTGAAAATAATTTTAAAATGTTTGGCATTCTCGTAAAAGTAGTTAAGTAGTAAGATGTTAAAATCCCCGCATTTTCCCCGCATAATGCCAGTCCCCAATACATCCCCAATCAACTTGAGATTCCCCGCAGTTTGGGGAATTCCCCACAAATCGGCAACACTGGTGTGGAGACACTAGGGGCGTTCGATTTAACTACACAGTCTGAAATCGCTACGATATATCGTTACGTGTGTAGCGGGCATAAGGTGCATTTGCATTAGGGAATTGGGGTAATACCGGTTGGATTTTCAATTAGTAGAAAGACTGGTAAAAACTTTATGTTCACGACATGTGATACGTTATATTTCTGGAACAAGGTGCAAAATCTTTTGCTTCTGTAAACTCAACGGTTTCTGCTTTAAACATGTACGAAGACAAGACATACTGTTTTATATGAATGATGAAGAATTTGCCATCAAGGGGTAAGACTGGACTTGAATTTAAAGCCACTTCTACTACTTAGAGAACAAAGTTAATAAAAGGAATTTGTCCTATCTTTAATGCTTAAAAACATATATCAATATGATCTATAAATTACTATAAACATAATAAATGTTCCAAACGATTTTGTTTTTTTGTTTTATTTTTGGCATATGATCTTATCCCTGATATAAAGAAACTGTAATTTTCTGGTTCTCAAACTTTGTTATGACTTATGACATAAGATAGAATTACTCAATAAGGGAAAGATCGGATGCATTTGATTTTTTTTACTGGGTATGAAAATTTTATTTGAAAATATCTAGATTTTTTAAATAAAATGTAACAGTAATGATTGGCGAAATGCCCTGAAGCAATACGGGAGTAGAGGAGTAGAGGAAGATGTAAGTATTTTTGCGTGTGTGTGTCAATGTGCGTGCGTGAGCCTATTTGTAGAGTTAATTAGGATCAGAATATGGCATGAAGTCGGAAAAAGTAAAGCAAAGTGGACTAGACCAGGAAAAGGAACGTGGGGTGAAAGTTTCCCGTGAAACTGAATTAGTTCTTTCTTTCTAGTTAGAAGTTTTATCTAATGAGATGAGATGAACGTTATCTAATGAGTTTTTATTCTTTGAATGGCAATATACAGGACTTTTGTGTGTACGAAGTCGTTATGTGAATTTTACTGTAAGTAATGCGGCCGCGGCACTGTGTGCATCACACCATAAACTAGTGCAAATATATCGACATGTTACAAAATATAGTATAGGTACATCTATGTTCCAAAGATTAGTTCTAAGCCGTGGTAGCTCAGATGGTTAGCGCTCGCTGTAAGCTTTACGATACTCGAGCAACTCGGGTTCGATCCCCGCCGGCACCAATGAAATTGTTAACTGCAATTTTAAGTGCTAATTTACCACGTGCTCGGCGGTGAAGGAAAACATCGTGAGGAATCCTGCATGTCTGAGAAATTAAAAAAAAAATATTTCGAAGACATGTGAAGTTCGCCAACACGCATTGGGGCAGCGCGGCGGACATTTCCTTGCCCTAAAACCCTCTCAGAAATGAGAGGAGGCCTGTACCCAGCAGTGGGACGTAAATAGGCTCCAACTTTTACTTTTTACTTTACATCTATGTTCCAAAGATTAGTTCTAAATAAGTTTTGTAATTATCAGTTGTTGTTAGTCATTGAGT